GGCCCTCGCGGCCGCGCCCAGGCCGCGCTCCTGGCCCCCGGGCCCGGCCGAGCGGCTGCTCGCGCCCTAGAGCGGCAAGGCGAGGCGTTGTGCGAAAGAAGATTGTTGTGGAAACGCCGAGCTGTGCTGTGGTGGCGTCGCTGTGGGGCTGGTGGCAGAGCGTGGGCGCTGGGCGGAGCGGGGCAGGCCCTGCTGGGCCCCGGGCCTTCCTCAGCCCGGGCACCGAGTGACAGTGACAGCGCTGGGGTGTGATGGCACCGGAACAGACGGGGACACGGCCTGAGGGGGCTGATGGGGCGGCAGTGACGTCACTGTGGGGGTGTGATGTCACAGGGACACGGCCTGAGGGGGCTGATGGAGAGGCAGTGACGTCACTGTGGGGGTGTGATGTCACAGGGACACGGCCTGAGGGGCTGATGGGGCAGCAGTGACATCACTGTGAGAAGTGTGATGTCACTGGGACAGGGCCTGAGGGGGCTGATGGGGCAGCAGTGACGTCACTGTGGGGGTGTGATGTCACCAGAACAGGCACAGGGCCTGAAGTGGCAGTGACGTCACTGGGGGGGTGTGATGTCACCAGAACAGGCACAGTGCCTGAAGTGGCAGTGACGTCACAGGGGGGGGTATGGTGTCACTGGAATGGGCAGGGACAGGGCCTGAGGCAGCAGTGATGTCACTGTGGGGGTGTGATGTCACCAGAACAGGAACAGGGCCTGAGGTGGCAGTGACGTCACTGGGGGGGGTTTGGTGTCACTGGAACGGGCAGGGACAGGGCCTAAGGCAGCAGTGACGTCACTGTGGAGGTGTGACGTCACCAGAACAGGCACAGGGCCTGAGGCGGCAGTGACGTCACCGCGGGGCCTGAGGGTGTGGCATCACGAGACCCGGATGGGAGGGGCGCCCCCTGCCGGGGGGCGCGGGACAAAGTGGGGGGGGCGGGGTGTGTGATCTGCACGGGAGGCTCCGCCCCCTCCCTGAGGCCCCGCCCCTCCTCAGGCCACTTCAGGCGGGGACACCTATCTTCTTCGCTGTCAATCACAAGCGAGACCACGCCCATTTCATCATGCCACGCCCCCTCCCCGGGCTGCGTTGCGCGCAGCGGAGGGTCGAGGCCGCCGCCCGGAGCCGCCGGCGGGGCCGGGGCGGGCCCTGAGGGGAGACGGGCCCCGAGACGGCCCCGAACCGGCCGGGTGAGGTCGGGGCGACGCGGCTGTGGGACTCTGACCTCCGACTGAGGGTACCTGGGTGGGACATTTGCCCCTGGAGGTTCGTGGGTGTGAGCGATATTTCTGCTGCTTTTGTATACGCTGTATCGAGTGTAGTATGTGTACAAAGAGCACTGTGTAGGGTGTATGGAGACTGTATACGGTACATCAAGTGAAATAGGCGAGGTTATTTATAGGTTATGCAGGATACATGTCTGGTGTGTGGAGTGGGATGGACAGTCGTGCATTGTACACTGCAGAGCGCAAAGCATAAAAAAGCGTTTAAATACGAGCAGTGCCGGCAGGGCGCTGGGCGCTGACCCATGTGGGGCCACGGCAGCGGCTCCAGTGTGCAGCTGCTGCTTTGCGGGTTTTATGGGTGCATGAATGAAAATCCTCATAAGCTGAAGGTGATGTGGGATGGAGCTGTGAGAGTGGCAGTGTCCACACTGCTGGTGGAGTTCTGTTCTTCTGAAGAGTCCATGTTGCACTAAGGGGATGGCATTCTTCAAACAACACAATGCGTTGTGGTGTGTCCTGCAGGCTTGTCCTTATATGTCTGAAAACTTTGTTCACCCCATGATTCAGCTCCCAAACTTGCTGTGGCAGCAGCCACCTCAGCTTTTGGGTTGGACAGTAAGTTGTTCTGCTCAGCAAGAATGGTTTTTGTTTTTATTTAAATTTTTCACGCCGTGTTTGCTCAGTTGTGCTGAACTTCTCCATTGGGTGGATGTCTGAAGGGCTCTGTGGGCAGCTGTGCCCTTAAACTTCTTGTCTTTAGGGCTTCAGGCCTGTGTGTGGGTGTATGGTGCCAGGGAGAGGTAGAAAGCTGGTAATTAATTCCTTCCCTTGATGTCTTAGAGTTAAGAGTTAGACAAGGGTCAGGGATAAAAAGGTGTTTATTTTGGTGTTTAATAAGGATTTTTATGGTGTAACACTTCATCACGGTGGAACATACCAAAATGCATGCATGGGGTAGATGGTGTGTGCAATTTTACAGATTGTTAGGTACACTCATTCACAAAAACATGTTTCAATGAAGAGTGTGATTTTTTAATTTTAAAGTCTTGTTTCTTGGGTAGGTGTAAGTTTACAAGATGTGTTTGAGAGGGCTTTTGGTTTCTCAAGACAGTGTAAGGTGTTCTGGCTTCTAACTGTGAGGCTTTCAGGAGTTTGTTCCTTTGATATAGCAGAGTACCCAGATTAGATTAGGCTATTAGGCTTACAGAATTACAGGTATATATGCTAAAGGTGCTGAGAACAGAAAAAGATTTATAAAAGAAAAGACAAAAATCGTCATGGCACCACCCTTACTGAGGGAGAGGGGCACACTGAGCGTTTCACTGTGACCTTTGTGCTCAGTGCTCGTGTTTGTGCTGGGGGTTTTGTTCTGCCTGTGGCAGTTGGGGTGGTGGGGTGGACAAACCCATTTCAGTGCTCCCACAATCCTCCATTCAGCATTCTGCTCAGGGTGAATCTGATGACTGAACACGGTGATGGAGCTGAAACAACGAAACCAGCGAGCAAGGAGGCTGCAGGTGTGTGATCAGAATTGAGGTGGTGGTCATCTCTCTGGAGAGGCGTTCCCTGCTTGTTTTGTGTGCTCCTCTGCCTCTGAACCCCGTCTGGGGCTGCGCTGGTTTGTTTTGTGTGGAAGCAGCCTGGCCTCTGCAGTGGGGACTCAGGTCTGGTGGTGCCCGTACGAGCGAGCCCTGCAGAGAGTGGTGTTCAG